TATGGCTTGTTGGCAGAGTGTCTGAGAAGTATGTTTCAACCTCCGTAGGTGCCGGTGTCAGTTCCGCTCTCGAGCCATCTTTGTCTTATTCACGAATTCCCTTGAGCAAGGAATTTACCACACGTTGCTTCAGATCAGAGTTGATAAGCCGGTAGAGTTATGATCAATCATTTCCGGTTGTCTCCCTTACCGTTATGAAGAAACAGAAATTTCTAACTTGTTTATGTGATCTAAGTAAGTAGAAGAAAGTGATTTATATGCCTGCAGTAGAAAATGGCCTTAATAACAATTCTTCAGATCTTTAAAGTGAAAGATTCAAAGGAACTCCTGAAGAACGTCGCAATAGCTATGCTGAGGTTAAAGCCCATAATTGCACTATAGGAGTAACGATGATAATGAAACTTACGTCAGATTCAAAGTAAATAGTATAAATCACTGCTCCGGTATCTTGACTAGTTCTGACATTGGTAACTTTTAAGCGGAAACTTAAGTTACTAATGACCATTTCTGAAAGATCGGTATCTTTTAAAATAAATTGTTTATAACATTGGCAAAATTTGCTGATATACGAAGAAGTTTATCGATGAAAGTGTCAAACAGTTTTTGATATCTGATTTTCCTATTTTAAAAAAATACCTGGTTCCAAAGTGAAGAAAAGTTAATACAATTAATTTAGTTATGTAGAGTAGTACGTAGAGTATATGGTGTGTCCTCTGAAGAAGTTGCAAGCGGAATGAGGCAGTGGTTTGAACTTAAATTTCAGGCATAATTTGCTCAACTAAGTGCCTTTTCTGTATATATTCACTTTGTTAATGAACGAAAGTTCTCGAAACTATCCTAGTATGGAATCAAATCCATCGATGACTTTAATATTAAATCCGCTTTCTTTCCTGACTTGACACATAGCAGTTCCACATAGACGGGATAGTAAGCGCTTGAGGATGGCCAAGCTTATGCAGTATGATACAGTCTTAGGGTACTACCGTGTGATATATTATATATTAACATGTCCTTTCCTTTGTTCAGAATCATTTAGATGGAAAAGGAGAAAGAAATGAATAAAAACCTCGCAAACGACACTTGAAACTATGTTGCAAAAACAATTGATAAATTCCTGAGCTGTACTGTCTACAAAAAGTGTTTTAACTGAATATTCCGATTAGGTCCAATGCTGCGTCATCAACATACATCTCAGCTGTTGATGGTACTGCTGCTTCAGCCAACTACGTAACCGTGTATATGGAACAAGAAATCACGTGTTAAGAACTCAAAAAACGTTTGTTCAAGCGGCTGTTTCACTGAAAAACAACAATAAAGTCATCAGAGGGTGAGCTACGATGTTATAGACTTGTG